GCTGATAGGGAATCCAGAGGCCATGCTTTCCAGGGTTCCTCCAGTCTCAATCAGACCATTAAGTCTGGTCTTCTTACTAGAATTTGAGTTCTGCACCCCACCTTTTTGCTGCTCCATCGGGGACTCTGTTGTGTTCTCTGTCAGGGCGGTCATTGGTGGTAGCCGGGCACCATCTAGTTCTTCTGGTTAGCATAGAGTTTTAGCCTTGTAGGTAGGTATATTAACATATGTAAGCTGGGCTTATGAAAAATATTTTTGTTGTTATAACTAATTATAGGAATATTTTTATAAAAAATAATAAATTTCTGCTGAAACACTGCACAAAAGTTTTATAGGCAGTCATTTTAGTGTCACCTCCTTTGACATTGTCACCCAGTGTGGTCTGCACCCCTTGTGCCCCCTAGTGATACCATTGGAAGGAGGGAGATCAGTTTGGAGGCCGTTTAGAGTAGTTTAGTCAAGAGATAATGGTGGGGAAGAAAAGAAAAAGAAAAAAAGAGATAATGGTGGTCTGGACTGAGGAGGGGTGGTGGAGATAGACAGCCATATTTGAGTGTAACTGATAGACACAATTATCGAATAGGGTTGAACATTAACTCTGCAAGTGTGCTCTGTTTGTGTGTATACATATATATACCAGTTGCCGTTGAATCGATTCTAACTCATGGCGACTCCATGTGTGTCAGAGTAGAACTGTGCTCTGTAGGGTTTTCAATGGCTGATTTTTTGGAAGTAGATCACCAAGCCTTTTTTCTGAGGCACCTCTGGGTGAACTTGAACTGCCAACCTTTTGGTTAGCAGTCAAGTGTGTTAACCATTTTACACCACCCAGGGTCTCTTTCTTTCTCTATGTATATGTATATATTCTCCACCCACTTATATCTGAGCTAATTTTTCTAAAAAGTCCTGGCCCCTGTCTTGGGGTAAGGTAGGAGGAAATGTAAACTTTCCAGTTCTATTTGAGGTTAGCTGTTCCTCCATGTAGCTCAATGTATTTTGGGGAAATGTTTAATTTTTGTTTCTTTCCCCTGAAATTCTCCCCCTCCCCCTGCTCCATACCAGACGGTCTCTAGATGTAGGGTGCATGTGCACAGCAGGGGTGACAGGGTTTATAAGTCCTCACTATGGCCGGATATGGAGCCTCAGGTCTGCCTGTGAGTCCCTGTGCTGTTGTCTGAGTCCTCGTGGGCCTCTGCTGTGGGGCATCTGGTCTGTTCTGATCTTTGGGTCCCTTGTGTGAATGCTGGAGCCTGCTGATTTGTGCTTTGTTTTCTTACCTCACTCAAGGCCTTGTGGGTCTCCCTTCCTGGTTCAGCCTCACCTCCAGTCTCATCCACATCCTCTGACTCCGCATTAGGCTGTAGAACCTCTGTGTCAGGGACACCCTGCTGTCCCTGTCATGACATGGGAGGACTTCTGAGTCCCCTACCTCCCACAGAAGAGCCACAAGAGGTCTGGAGATGCTAACACAGCTCTCTTTTTGCTTAATAATCAGACCAGGTGGCATGTTTACTTTGATGCAGCCACCCCATATATATGGAGGTCACCCTGCCAGTTTTCTCTGCCCTCTGCTGCCCACCTCCAGCCCTGCCAGCATTTTGGTCTGAACAGGGTTGCTAAGGCATATGTAAGTCTAACTATTTGCTTCCCCATTGTCTCCTCTTTTCTTATACTCCATTGGGGTGGAAGGGAAGGGTTCTCTACTTCTATCTTTTTAACCTTATATTTTATCCTCATATCGTCGTCTTCCATAGGGCTGCAAGACTTATGGCCCAGCTGTCCATTGCATTCCTTTCTATATATACTACCAGGCTGGCTCCTGGTATGGAAGCCATGGGACTATTAGAAACTAAAGATTACTGGGGTTGAAAACACAGTGGTTTACCCTGCCAAAATATTGTACCCATTACTCTTGGCTTTTGTAGACATAGCCAAAGCTGTCACCACAAGCATTGACTAGGATCATAATTTGGTTTCTATAGCTAAAATTGCTCTCTCTGCCTATATTGTTGTTGTTGTATGCCACTGAGTCAATTCTGACTCATAGTCAACTCATAGTGATCCTATATGACAGAGCAGAACTGCCCCATAGAGTTTCCTAGGCTGTAATCTTTCTGGTTGCAGACTGCTAGGTCTTTTCTCCCGCGGAACCACTGGTGGGTTGCAACTGCTGACCTTTCGGTTAGTGTCCACTGTGACACTAGGGCTCTTTTCTCTTCCTATAGGGTAATCTAAATGCCTTGATGTGGTCTCAGGCCAGCCTCTCTAGCCTTGCCTCTCACTGTACCTGTTCTCCTGCCCTATGCTGTAGTCAAATTGGACTACTCAGTGTTTCTTGAATTATGCTTCATTTTTCCTCACTTTGATGCTCTGGCTTACATAGGTCTTTCTTGTGAAATGCTTCCCTTGTTCCTTTCTTCCCTTCTTGCATTTTTTATGTATTAAAATCCTACACATCCTTGAAGACCTTACTCTCATGCTACATCCAACGTAAACCTCAGATTCCTTTAATGTGGAGTAATTGCTGTTTCTTCTACACTCTCACGGAATTTTGTCTTTAATGTGACCCTTATCACTTTCTGTTTTATATTGTAATTATTAGTGGATATGTCTGCTTTTTATCTTCTAGATTATAAGCTCCTTGAGGGAAAAAACTGACTATATACACCTGTATACTGACTATTCTCAGTTCTGTGTCACCTGTGTTGCCTGTCACATTGCTTTGCGCACAAAAAGCACTTGATAATAAATAGAGTGGCACAACCACACTTTTCATAAAACTCTCTAAATCTCACATTGAACACTTTGAAACAAGTGTGGAGGTGTATTTTTTTTTTTTACATTAGATGGCATTTGTCCATTAAATTTCTATGCAAGGCCCCTTGGCCTGGGATCCAGTGAGCTGTGAGAAACAGGTTTTCAACCACTTCTCCTAGGCCCATGAAATAGAAAGTCATTATATTTACAGAGGTCTGTGGAGGCCCCCCAAACATGGCAGCACAATTATATATCAGAAACCCCTATCATAAATGAGTCAGACAGGATAAGCCAACTTGAAAGAGAAAATAAAATATTATAACCCCGACTTGAAAAGAAAATATGGCGTGTGGTTTATTGCTGTGGATTATGGAGGAAGAAAGACTTGAATTTAAGTAAAACAGGAAAGCAGTGACACTTTTTAAACTCAATACAGTATTCACGTGGCAGACACTGGACTTTAAAAAGCCAAACCTTCAGGCTCCTGCTCTGGTCTATAAAATGTATGTAAAGTCGCTTTTGCTACATTATTAGTGTGCCATTCTGGAGGCGAGGAATGTTTTGGGAGAAAAATAACCTTGAAGCCAGAGTCTTTCTTTCAAGTCAGAGTCTGTTTGTCAGAATCTCACATTGCATTTTAAAGACTTTTAAAGACTGTGGCTTTGGGAAATTCCACTGTGAGGAAGTGAGATGGAAGAGGGACTTGGAAAGATTTGCAGTATAGGGAACAACTTTAGCTGTCCTCATGCTAAGTTCTGCAATTATCAGAAATATGAAGATAGTCTTAAGTAACGAGATTCCTTTATTTCTAGAATTGCATTCCATCAAGAGTGCCTTCTCTTCTTTCCTGAGCTTCCCAGTGCTCACTGTCTCAATTGCTTGAATATAGTGAGTCATTAACATCTGGTTCAGACACAAAGGTATCAAAATGCTTCCAATGACCCAGGCTGAAAGCAGAAACACTAGAGTGCATATGGAATCTATTGGTCAGGCTTGTTCTAGTCTAGAGGCACGAGGGTAATATATACAACCATGGTGGAGTTTGACAGGACTAAGATAGGATGCCATAGAGGGAGATTTGTGCATTGAGTGAAGGTTAAACCAGATGGCCCCTGAGGACCTGTCCAGCCTAGATGACACAGTTGGGTGGCCAGGTTTGCTCAGTCTTAAGAACTGCCTATTTGTTTCTTCTGAGTTGCTTGTGAGCCATGCAGCCTGGATGAGATGGCAAAATCCTGTCCCATCCACACACACATTTGTAGATATTCCTTTAGGCAAAACCCTGGGAAAGTCAAGCTACTTTTTGTGTCTTTTACATGAGCATTTCAGGTTATTAAATGAACAATTCCTGGTGGCAGGGAAGGCACAACCAAGTGAAATGGAAAATACTTGAATCTTTTAGGCTGAGACAGATTGACTGGTGGTCTGATTCAGCCTGGAGGTTTACACTGATTGAATTGACTGAATTCATGCATTCCTTTATTCACGTACTTACTTATCCATTCATTTATTCTACAAGCATGAATTTATTTATCAAGTATTTTTTTTCAGCTGCTTTATGAAGCTTTTTTAAAGTTTATTTTTTTAGGGTGGTAAATATATAGGTAACAAAACATTTGTCATTCAACAATCTTCACAGTACAGCTCAGCAATGTTCTGTTCATCGTGTTAAGTGCCTCTGGTGTGTCATGTACCATGGACCCCACCATTTCCCAGTTTTCCTTTTCCGTGTTTGTCTAGGCAAGTGATTTATCACCACCTTGAGGCAAGGGAGGTGAACAGAGGAGAGTTTATGGGCCAACCTTGGTGTTTAGAGAGAAGTGAGTCAGGTGTATCAGATATCTATATGCTATTAAAATATCAAACTAAACGAAACAAAATGAAAACAACAGCTATTATTAACAGAGTGGTTTTTGTTAATTTTTTTAGGAGTAACTGAGAAAGAAATCAGTAATGTAAATATGCAAAAAAAAAAAAAAAAAAACCAAACAAGCAAAGAAATCAGTTACCGTGGAATCTATTCTACCTTATGGTGACCCTGTGTGTTACAGAGCACACACAACTGCTCGATAGAGTGTTTTTGGTTGTAAACTTTAGGGAAGCAGATCACCAGGCCTTTCTTTGATGGTGCCATTGCGTAGGTTCAAACCACTAACCTTTAGGTTAGTAATTGAGCATAAATGATTTGCATCACCTAGGGACCTTAATATGAATACAATTCATGCTTTTTTGTTTGTTTCCAGATCACCAGATTAAAAATTGACCGAAACCCTTTTGCTAAAGGATTCAGAGATTCTGGGAGGAACAGGTAAGAATAAATGGGAAAGACATTCACTGACATTTTTGTCTCTGTAGCATTATTGTCCCAATCCCCATTGGTGGCCCCTGGCTCCTTCTTTTTGGAAAAACACCTGCATGCTGGGCCACTGTGTTGACTCAGGCAGAGAGAAAAGGACAGGTGACCGAAGAATCAAAAAGCAACCTCCAAAAGGCTAAATTACCTAAATTCTTTGTTAACACTCTCTGAATCACCAAATCAAAACCATCATGGTGTTTTTTCTCTACTACATGGTACTTGGTAAACGTCCCTTAAAACAAATTTTATAGATTTATTATCACCAAAAGATGTCTTTTTTTTTTTTTTTTCTGAGTAGCATCGACAGCACCTGCAGCGATATCTCATTTATCTTGCATTATCAGGAAACAAGGAATTGTGGACAGATAACATTTTTCAGGAAATTATTACCTTTAAGAGTAAAAACTTTATTTAAAAAATTTAATCATTTTTCCTCTAGGAAATATTTCCAAAATATATTAGATGGTTCCTGCTTTAGTAAAGAAAGTTTGTAGAACACATCATGGAACCCTTTCTTGGGGACCTAAGCTTGTCATTATGATTAGGTTGTTACTGTATATAGTGAAGTTCTTAGGAATTGCTGAAACTTATAAGACTCTTAGCCCTTACTGTAAATGGCCTTAGAGATTGTGGTGTTTTTCTGGCTGACAAGTCTTCTTTCTGAATCCCTCCAAACAGTTCCCTTCCTATATAAAATTAAAATCTGTTATCTATAAAACTTAGAGTACCAAAATTGTCAGGGAACCAGCTATATTTAAAGTTATTCAGTCAGAAACTTTCATTTTATATAATCGATACTAAATCAGCAAATGCGACATTTGTGTCTTATATTGTGCATAAGCTTTGTGGTAACCACTTAAAGTTCAGACATTTTTAATGATTTGGGGGCATTTCCTTATAGTTGAATGACTCAGATTGTCAGAAGTTACACTGCTACACAAGAGAGATGTAATTTGAATATCTTTGGTATCCTTTCTGCTAATGTTTTCAGTTAAACCATCTAGTATTATATTTAAAATTACTTCATGAAATATGTAGTGCATTATATTAGAATTCAGATTTAGGCTAAAAATCATTGTGATCATTTCCTGTACAAAAAGATCTATGAAAGGACTTCTTTATAAAACTCTTTCACCAAAAAAACCAAACCCGTTGCCGTCAGAGTAGATTCTGACTCATACCAACCCTGTAGGACAGAGTAGAACTGCCCCACAGGGTTTCAAAGGAGTGGCTGGTAGATTCGAACTGCTGACTTTTGGTTAGCAGCTGAGCTCTTAACCACTGTGCTACCAGGGCTCCAAAACTCTTATAGTATATTTAAAATACATTTATATTTCTGCCAATTTTATTTACCACAAATTTTTTTAAGGTCACATCTATTGAATACATTAAAATTCACTTACACCCCCAGGTTGTAGATGACAAAACTGAGTAATACATTCTAGGTCAAACATCTAGTTAGTGGTATAGTCACACTATAACCCAGGCATACGGTTTCCAGGCCAAATGCTTTCTTAGAAGATTCTTTGTTTAAAATACGATAAAGGTGTTTATTTCCAAAATTTAACCAGTGAAAAATGTATACTTCTTCTTCCATTGGAGCCCGGTAGCACAGTACTTAAACTCTCGGCTGCTAGCCAAAAGGTCGGCAGTTCAAATCCACCAGTCGCTCCTGGGAAACCCTATGGGGAGGTTCTACTCTGTCCTATAGGGTCACTATGAATTGGAATTGATTCGAAGGCAATGTTTTTTTTTTTTTATTCTTCCATTTGAAATGGACCACCCTCTTCCTCCCCATTAGCTTATCCCAGGTCTAGGAGCCACAGCGTGCCTGTGAGCTGTTTCCTGTTGCCTCCTTTTCAGGAGTCTGCACTCTGGGTTGATTGAGGACTTGTTGTGGTAAGGAGGTCAGAGATAGAAGTTGGTCTTTTATCAAGAAGCCTCTAGATCTGCCCTGATGGTGATTCTTTGGGATAGGGCATTCACGATAGGCTCTTTCTACAAGTAGACCACATGTAGCAAGGGCATTTAAGATTTTTGGGTTGAAGCCCATGGATGGATTTAAGAGGTTCTGTGAGCACCTAGATATTGTAAGCAAAATTGTATGTGGATGAATAGGTATACATTTTTCTGGGGAGAGTTCTAGAGCTTTCTTCAGATTTTCAAAGAGGCCCACAGCCAAAAGTTAACAGTTTATGCTTTAGGCACAACTATCTCTCTCCAGGGGCCAACACCACTGACTTTAGTTCTTCAATGATTTCTTTTTCTTTCCTTCTATAACCCTAGTACCATCTAGTATTTGCTTATTTTCTTCTTGGCAGTACAAAGATTGTTTTCTTTTTCTTTTAATTTTTCCCCCATTGGAGTCTTGTTCTTCAGATTTCTGGTCATTTTTGTAAGGTTGAATTTGAGTTCTCAGTAAGTGCTTCCCTACTGGTAGGTACCTATCTGTCTTAGGCGAGGTTCTCTAGAGAAGCAAAACCAGTGATGCATCTATCTATCCATCCATCCATCCCTCCCTCCCTCCCCCATCATGTATCCATCTGTCATCTCTCTCTCTCTCTATATATATACACATACATATCTATATCTGTATATATAGATAGAAGGAGAGAAAGAGAGATTTATATCAAGGAAATGGCTCATGTGGTTATAGAGGCTGGAAAGGCCCAAGTCTGTGGGTCAGATTGGAGGCTTCTTCTGACCCTCATAGCTACAGGGGCTGGTGAACCCAAGATTGGCAGGTCAGACAGCAGATCTCTTGCTCCAAGACTGTGGAGGCTGATGAATCCTAAGATGGGCAGGTAAACTGGTAGCTCAAGTCTCAAGAACCAGAGGTCAGATGAATAGGAGGCAGATGCAGGATCCAGAGTGAGCAAGAGTCAATGAGCTTTGCCAGAAAGTCCACCTGTATTGGATGCAGGCCACAACCACAAGGAAACCCCCTTTCAACCAATTGGCTGCTCATAACAGATTTCATCATAGAGATGATTACATTATTACATAGCTACCAAACTACATCATAACTGCCAAACCATTGAGAATCATGGCCCAGCCAGGTTGACACACAACCTGAACCATCACACTGTCCTTGGAAATAGCCATCTGGATGTACTTTGACCATTTGTAACATGTATTGCATAGTTATTAAGAAATATATATGTCAGTTATTGATAAGTGCTGAGAAGAAAACTAAATCAGGTTAGGAGATAAAGTGAGAGTGGGCGCCACTTCTGTAGAGTGGCCAGGGATGGTCTCCCTGATAAGATGTCCTGAACGTTGTGAAGGAAGCTGCCAGGCTGGTACCTGATTCTAGGTAGACAGGAGCCAGCAAGTGAAAAGAGAGAAGTGTGCTGGATGTGTTTGTAGAACTTTGAGGAGGTTCTGGTGGCTACAGATAATGGTGCCTGCCCAGGAACATGGCTCAGCAGCTTGAGATGGGAGATGAAGAGGCATGGCATAGGATAGACAGCTGGAACCTAGAGGCGGTGTTGACCAGCATTAGAGTTATGATCTGGGAATTGAACCCTCCCCTTTAGCCTTAAGAATAAGAGCAATGTATCTTGAAGTCTTTGCTGCTGGTCAGGAAGTTGTGATTACATCTCAGTTCAAGTGCTGAGGTCGTACTCTCTCCTCAGTTGTTTAGAAGGCCTTTGCCTGCCTGAAGGCTAGTGAATGTCTTACTGCCCAGTTATTTGTCTGTCCTGCCCCAGTGGGCTGCTCCTTCTCGTAAGGATGCCAGGAAAGCAGAACTATGGATCCTCCCTAGCCCATTTCAATGCTTTGTTATTATTTTTTTCTGATAGCGTGGAAGTTCTTCGTTATGTCCCATCAAAACCTACAGGAGACTTTGAGTACTATTAGTAATTATGACAGCTATCTGTACTTGAATAGTTATATAAACTAGACCCTTTACTTATGTTTTCCCAAATTCTCAAAATTTGTATTTTACAAATAAGGAAACTGAGGCTCATAGAGGTTAAGCAACTTTCTTAGTGATACATAGTAAATGCTGGAGCAGGGATTAAAACCTGCACCTGCCTGACTTCAAAAATCAGTGCTCTTTCCATTCTATCGAGATAACAGCTTAAGCTTGACTTACTTTACCTTCAACAGATATGGAGAACAGAATTCTTCCTCTAAAAATTCTTCATCTTCTTAAAGACACTACTCAAGTCACCTAGCACCTTGTCTTTTCCAAATAAAACAATCTGTATATTCTCAGGCTGTCTTTATAGACTATGCCTCATGACTTTGTCATCTACCCTGTAACCCCCTATGAACAAGGGGGTTAGTAGAGGACAGGAAGCCAGGCTGAACTTTGCTAGCAGGTTAAACTGTGGTGTAATGACAATGAATTATTAAAGGTAGAAGCCACTTTGTCCTCCAGTACTCTGGGAAGCTAGATTAAAATAAGCTTGTTCTAAACCCGTTTTGCCGTTGAGTCTATTTCTACTCACAGCGACCCTGTAGGACAGCGTAACTCTGCCCTATAAGGTTTCCAGGAAGTGCCTGGTGGATTCGAACTGTCGACCTCTTGGTTAGCAGTCAAGCTGTTAACCACTGCTCCACCAGGGCTCCTGGCATAAGTACAGATATCTTATATTTCTCTTTTTTAAAAGCTCAAAAAACCCAAACCAAACCCATTGCCATTGAGTCTATTCTGACTCATAAGCAACCCTATAAGACAGAGTAGAAGTGCCCCTTGGGGTTTTCAAGGCTGTTATCTTTATGGAAGCAGACTGCCACATCTTTCTCCCAAAGAGCAGCTGGTGGGTTCGAACCACCAACCGCTCGGTTAGCAGCCAAGCACTTAAACCACTGCACTAGCAGGGCTCCTTAAAAGCTCAAAATTACCTGCTAATTACACATTACTTCTCACTAGTTGCCTGCAGGATATGTTGAGGACAGGAATAATTGATACCATTTTGCAAATGGGGAAAATTGATGGG